CCACGATGCAGCCACCATACAAAGGGTGTATTTTTATGTTTCAGGTTTGCCGAGCCCTCGTCCCACGAATGCAAATGTTTTGCAATGCAGGGTCTGTGGCGCAGGTCCTTTGGATCCTTTGGGGCAACTGACTTCCTACCTTTGAGTTTACACCATGATAACCCACTGGGGAACATCTACCCCGACCCTGAGGGTGCCATCTTAGATTGACCGGCGTCCCAGTTGGCTGTCGTTATTGGTCAGGAACACCCTTGAACTGCCCTTGAAAAAGGTTGCTGGACATTCCCAATGAACATCATGTTCAGCCAAAGAGTCCCAAAATGCCAGTGTTGCCAAAAGGCTCTGCCACCATGGCAGGCAACTAGGATTCAAGGGGAAATCCATGGGAGCCAGAAACATCACCCAAGGACTGAGATATTGAGCGTCGCCAGAAAGGACATTGAGGGTTCCCTTGGTGCGCTGTCAAGGGAAACCAAAGGAAAACCACCCCTTTTGTCGGTTCCCCCAGACAAACTGAGTTTCAAGAGCCCTTGGGAAGTCTGACCGGAACTGTACACTGAACAAAGTTTCACCTCGCGGAGGAGTTGACATACTTTGTCTGAAACTGATGGATCTCAAGCAGCGGCCCCTTTTAAACCAACCACCCTCAAAAGACGCACCCACAAGGCGGCAAAATGGGAACAGAGCCCGTTCTCGTTCTGAGGTTGAGCCAATTCAAACAGTTTCCTCAAACCAAGACGCGATTGTTTTATGAGTGCCTTGGGTAAAGCAAGCTGCACCTGTAACAGCGATCTCTTTGGAGGGCGCTTCGCAATCCGTCTCTCCGCGCCTACCGAAACCAACTGAATGTAAGTCATACTCGAGACCTGTTGAAGGAGTCGTCTGCCCGAACCATGTGTAATTGGTAGCAGGTAAAAAAGGGGCGGGCGCACCTGTGCCTAGCTGGGCATCTATCCAGGTTTTGATTGTAGTTGATGCCTTACTCTTGTCACAGGCTCGGCCAGCTTCGCCGAGTCGGTGACAAACACCGTTTGCTTCCATCAAGGGCACCTGCTCATAGATGCTACAAGTCACCAGCAACGCGACCCAGCCACTTGAGCAACGGCCAAACCAGTTGACTTTCTTGATGCCAAAGTTCTAGGTGTTTACATTCCAAAAAATTGTCCTCCCCACCCCTAAGCACATGTCGCTCGACCCAGCTGCCTCCAGCCCCTCTGAAGCAAGTCCCTGAAGCCAGACCCTTCATCAAGAAACCGCACAAGTTTCCCTAGCATGTTCCCCCCACAAAACCGGCCAAGTTCCCCTAGAGCCAGGCAGGTCCCCCAGAAGCTTGTTCAATCCCCTCTAGAAACCGGTCAACGAATGGCCCCAACCGAATTGCCCTGGGAACCAGCTCGCACGCAAACAAACACACCACTTCAAGGCAAACCAAAACACAGTACCTCAAAGCCAGCCAAAAGCATTCTGGCCGAGGCGGGCAACGCGAAGCGTCCCAGCAAACCAGCAGATTCAAAACCGGGCCTTGAATTGCCCTGAGTTGGCCAAAGGTTTCTGGGTGGTTGGGCGCCTCTCACTGTGGAACAACCCAACGTATGCAGCTCGGGAGCTCTTTGCCAGCTTCCTCGCTTCCTGATGCGATTGCAACCTCTTCAAACCTGGGCCTAACTTAACCCCCCCCCCCATGTAGGGTTGTGTTTCAAAACAAACACACTTCCTTTCACGGAAAAAACATGTTCAAATCATTCGTTGATGGACTTGCAAATGCTCTCGGAAACCTGTTCATGCTGTCCACACTTCCTTCTACACAAATCCCACAAAACGCTCCTCTCAAAAAGGGACACAAATAAAGTTGCTGAGACCCACAACCGGGTTATTATATATATATTGACACAGAACCAAGGGGTTGATCTTCACGAAACCCAAAAACAAGAGAAGTTGGCCACCCTGTTCCTTGCGGCCGTCGGGAGTGTCCATCTGCTGGTCGGTGCAAATGGTGGCCGGGGACATCTCCGCGGGAACCTCCCGGTAAGGCATCAAGCAGCCAAATCATGCAGGAATGACCCGTTCTGTACGTGGGATGCGCACCCCTGACGAAATGTCCTGCACCACTTGGTAGCTTAATCCCAGCAAAGAAACAGGGGTTCATGTATCCAATACAGGGAAGTCGTCAGTGTGACCATTGCCGGGATTCAAACTGCCGATTCACAGCACGAGGCAGCCTAAAGCCCAGCTTTCCATGCGGGACATGGCCACCGTTTTGGACCCCCCCCTTCTGGGCGGCACGACATGGCGCCGAAACGGAAGCTTCGGCCACAAGACTGCAGTATGTGTTTTGGCACATCCCAAAAAGTGGCACCCTGCGGACATGATTTACATTAGGAATGCCCATCAAGCACACATAGGCGTTAATCAGCTTGACCCCTTGGTGTCCCTTTTGTGCCGCCTTTCAATTCGTGGGGACCCAAGAAGGGTTGCCAATTTGTCAAACCTCCCATGACAAAGATAGGAAGCCCCATTTTAGCCCAAGGAAACCTGCATCTTTCGGTCAGTGCGCTCAGCCACATGCTTCTCAAAGTCAGGAACCCGCTTTGAAAGCAAAGGTGGCTGCCTACGCGACAAACACGAGGCACCTGGTACCTGGTGGGCATAATATGATTGTAGTTCACATACTTCACGAAGGGCCTCAGCTTTCGCCGTCCGCCGACTCGATTGGGTCGCCGGGAATTGGTCGAAAGCCCCTTCGAATGGGTAATCAAAAAACCGCCTCCCGCCCCTCCAAAAGGGATCCTATTTGACATACCAAGTAAAACCCGGAATGGTGCCGGACCCATTGCATATGAAAATCCTTGGACGGTTCCAAAAAGGAGACAAACAACCTGGATCTGCAGTTTCCCTTTTGAAAAACACCCATTGGACTTCTCGTGCTCCCCAAAACGCTAGACCGCAAACACAGGTTACGTCGACTTGGGTTGCCAAACACGTGGCCGCCTTTTAGAGGGACTACCACAACCGGCCCGAGTTTTGACAAGTCGTCCATTGCTCGCAATCTTGGCAAGCAGCTTCACCTTGGTGCGCTTGGTGATCTTCTTCTTGGACATTGCCCTGGCAGACGGGTTGTCAGAAGAGGGAACCCCTAAAATGGGTGTCTTCAATATTTCATCAAAAGGACAAAAGGGCCTGGCAGTTGGTCTGGTAATTGAACTTGATGAACAAGAACTCTCTTGATTGCCCATCAAACAAGAAGGCAAGGCTGGTAAAGGGGTGGTTTTTAAGGGGGAATCAACATGAGTCGTGAATGCAGAGGAAATGGCCCCCCTAAATCAAATGGGTGCTGCATAAAATAGGCTTACAAATGGCTTCTCTAAATACCATCCGTTCGAACATCCCGAATGCATCGCTCCTCGTCACCTTCAAAGGTGCGCGGTTGATGCCAGCCACCAGGCAGTGTCCAAAGGGCCGGCCCTTAGAGCCATCATCGAAGGCCTTCACGACGATGGCCTGCGGTCCACTTCGGCCCGGCTGGTCGGTCGACGGTGAAACGGCCATTTGCAGAGCGAACCACCTCCAAAGTGGTTGGACATAAATGGCTGTGGGTCAAAACCGATGGTACCATTTTGGGGTAGGTGCTCCATGTTCACTGGGGGTACGGGATTTTGACCCATGGCCAAATGTTCACCTGAATCAAAATGCGCACCCTACCAAGAGCTTGGGGGGCAAGACGCCTTCCCCCTCCCCCAACACATCTCCAAAGACGTTCTGCCGGCCTTCTTGCCAGCATAGCGGCCCTGCGGAAATGATACGGCTGCACTCTTGGATTGGCGGCTTTCGGGGTTCCCATTTGGTTGTGTCCTTTTTTACGAGCCCCCCCAAAAATTGTGCTTTTCTTTCTGGTGTCCCTTCAAAACAACCCAAAAAAGGGGGTCCCCTAAAAAAAGACACCCCCATTTATCCTCAGCCAGGGGTTAGTGTTTACTCCAAACCACGAATCCACGCCACCAACTCACTGAAGGGCATCGGCACACACTCGGCCTGAAGCATCACCACCACACGCCCAGCTTTCAGGAACTTTCCTGAGCACAAATGAGTGTTTATCAAAAAGGAATTGGTCTCCCAAGGCTCCGGTGAAATGTTAAGATTGCTTTAGCAGAAATGAGGATCAAGAATATGACGCGTTGAGAAACAGACCCAAAACCCCACCCCGCCCGTATTGCAAACCAGCGGCCCATTGCGCGAGGCTACTTGAGGATACGGCTGTGTTCTGTGCACCCTGGTGAATCAAATCGAGGCAAAAGCAGTGAAGCAAGCTGCCTGTGAGGTACACTAGCCATGTTCAAAACTCATGGAACGCTGGAGTCAGTCCAACGGCGCTCTGCAGGTTTATCCGCACAAACGCCGCAAGCGAACGCAAGCGAATGGCGGGGGGTTCCAGCTTGGTGGTCAAGAATTGTCGGCATACACCCAACAGCTTTGTGACCCCAAGAAGCCTGCGCCAGCTCTGAACTGCACCATCCTAACATTGGAGCAATGGCTTCTTTCATGCTAGATTCTCCTTGCATGGGCTTTTGGGGGTGCACACTTTCAGGGCTCACCATCCCTGGGCTCCCCTTCGCACGGGTCTCACGGCGCGGGGAAATGCCACAGACGACCCTTCTGGGTCAACGTGTGCTGCACCCAAGCACGACTCGGGCGCAGCGTAGTGCAGAATGATTCATCCAGTGCCGCATCTTAGAAGTGGCAAGAAAAACGAAGGCCCACGACCGGTTGCCGGTCTTCATGGCAGCTCTTCCTAAAATTTATAGGCAGGATGTCAGCTTTTTTAAGCTGTGCAAGCGTAGTGCTCGGACAAATCCGTGGCTGGCTCTGGCTATCAAAAGAAAGCAAACACGGTGACACGTGAATGCTCGAGATCTTATGGCTGTGCTCAGGCAAATCATTGAGCATTCAGCTGAAGCCACAGCCAGAAATAAATACGTAGGCCACTTATTGGCACGGTCATTAACCTATGCAGCGGCACAAATCAAAACTGCCGAGAACGCAACCTCAGCTTGATGGCGCCCGCGTCAAGGGAATTCTGCATACAAGCATCATACCATGGAACCTGTGTTGGGACACAACACCATGCCGCCCAAGCTGCCTGGAATGTCGCGGATAGTCCGGATGACGGTAAACTGGGCGGCAAGCCAGCTGTAGAAAAACAACCGGGCCCCAACGCCCCGATGCGTCCGGCACACAGCCGGCGAGAAATAGCATCAAAAGGTGGCCAACTGAAAGCGGGCTGCTTTCTGGCCCAAAGTTTGGTGCATGGCCCTTGCAATACCCACCTGCCAAGGGGCGAGGAAGACATTTCTTCAGATTCAGCAGTGGTCCTAGTGTCACTGTCGCATAGTCATCATGACTACGACACGAAGCATGCACGCATACAGCACGATAAGCAGCCGAGGATCGTCGATGTTCTGGCAACCTAAGGCATGCGCAAGCCGGCCCGCTTACTGAGCTTCGAAACCAGGGTCGTACACTGGGCGGGGTAAACCCATTCTGGATCCCAAGGGTTCTCCAACATATCTTTTGAGCATACCCCTGAACCTTTCTGCATTGGCCTGGGGTAATTACGCTTCAAAGGTATGCTGTCGGGTTTTTGGAATCCCTGACGACTGCGCGCGGATCCGACTAGGCGTCCCACATCTGCGAAGACCGCGTATGACGTCTTTGTGTGAGTGGAGGAGCATGTCACTTTGCCTGTCGAGGGAATGCCCCACCATCCCAAGCTTGTTATAGGAAACCCAATTCCAACCCAAAGTGTTACCTCAGTGGGCTGTTTGTTCCACATCAGGAACCGCAATGGAATACATGGGCATACCATGTGTCGCAACCGCACCTGAAGCTGAGTCTATGCTGGTAGAAACCTGGGTGCTGTGCGATGCACTGGCACTCGTCTGTCAGCTTGCCAATGTTCATCAATCCAAAGGCTGTACTACTCAATCACGAAATCAGAACTCTGTGCCAAAGGGAAATCAAAGCGCATCTGGGATGGATTCCAATGAGGTTTACTCATTGGAATTTCCCTTGATGGGCAATGTTACATGTGGGTCGGACAGTTGCAACGTGCATCATGTCTCCAACGTCGGTCGCGGTCGCCCGTCGGCTTCCGTTTAAGCCTCCCACACCATCGCTGGTCCAAGAATCGCTGGACGAGTCGAAGCGAGCACAAGTCGGGACAAAGTCGGAGCCTGGGCACAGCATTGAGTGCGTGTCACCCGTGGGTTTCGGTTTATCTTCGGCTTCCTCGGGCAGCCCGAAAAGGGAGTTTATCACAGGGCACCTCAAAACTGGTTGGCTTCCTTTTGGTTTCCTGCTTTCACCAACCAAAAGTGGGCGCCTCAAAAAAGACAAAATCCTGCAAGGGGGGTCGACTCAACCGTCGCATTCAGCTGTTTCCCAAAGGCCCCAAAGGCCCCAAAGGCCCCAAAGGCCCTGACCGGCTCCAAAGCTTGGCAAAGGAAGCGACACCTAGGGCGCGCTCCCATCCCGAGGCGGGTGCATGGATTGTTCGCTAGCTGCCCATCCACAAGGAAGGGCACCGCTCTGGGTATGCCCAACTGAATCTGAGGCCATCGCACTCACGGGTTCCAGAACCACCTCAATCACACCGCAGGCCGCAGGAGTCTGTGGTCATTCGAGCGCCCAAAACCCGAGCTGACTGTTGCTTCTACTCAGATGGTTGTCAAGATGTACAGGCCTTACTATGGCCCTCATACAAGACCAGGCAGTAAACCACCTACCGAAATAGACAACTGCCGATTTTGGGCACTGCTCATCGTTGCTTTTGTGTGTGTGGGCGCGTGTATATATATATATATATATACATGTGTGTGTGTGTGTGTGTCTGCGTTGCTAAGCTAAGCCAGTAGCGGCTGGAAAGGAGCAGGAGGTGATCTCAACCGAAAACACATCCTTGGTTCAGATCTTGGGCCGGACTCAACTGGAGTTTCGGTCAGAAAAAAAAGAAGAAAAAAACATGGGCCTAGCAAATATCTAGGATGCTGCACACCTGGCTGTCCTTTGGTGCAAGCCTTCTACCCATGAGACAAGGTTTGTCACCACCAGGTCTGAAGTAACTGCCGCATGAGCTTCAGCGCTCTCTGCTACAGAGCCTTCACTGCCAACCACCTTCTGGGTATAGCTGTACGGATTGCTCTTCCTCAGCGCAGACTTTCCGCATTTCCCTCCGCCAAAGGCAGAAAGACACACCAGTTGAAGCTGACTAAAAACACGCGAGTTTTTGCCCGGAAGATGACTCGAACGGGATCTCAGTCTGAATCCAGTCTGATCATTGAATCTGCTATCAACATCATCAGTCTAGCATCTGAATGTTGCATTGCGTTCTTTACCTAGTACTGACATACAATGAAGCATCAATTGTGTTGACCCCCGATAACCAAACAAAGTATCTGTCTTCTTGGCAACTAACTAATAAGGGCACCTTAAGCCTCAAGAAACAGTACACCTTTCAGCTGCTCTGGTTCAGGAGTTTCCCCGCGCCCAACCTAAGGCTTCTTAGAACCTTACAGGTCCCAAAGGGCTCTGAGAATGGTGGGGGGTCTTAGTTCGCCGAAACCTGGCACTCGGCAACTCGGCAAGTGACAGCCACTCCGTGACCTGAACCTCCATCTCACCGCAGCTGGCGTCAAGCCTTCGCCCTGCGAAGGCCCCCGCAGGGATCGACAGGCGCTGCCTGGGCGAGCCGGCTTGCCCGACAAGGACCAAGGTGACCGCGAAAATTGGAGGGTGATTTTTTTGGTGTTGTGGGAAATGAGGCTATGCCCGGCCCCCCTTCCTGTCCTCCCCAAGCCAATAATTGGTAGACCACCCATCATTTTGACAATTGCTCACATGAACAGGGTGGAACAATGCTCCCCAAAAAAGACATGACTTGTTCCCCAAAATTGTTTGTTCCCCTCCCAAATGGACCGCAGACTGGAAATGTTGACCGAGCCCCTGTTATTTTGGGGGTTTAGGTTGAAAATCATGCAAAATGGAGAGGTCCTTTGCCTCAAGTGAAAGAACCCTGTGTGCCTTCGTCAAAAGTTAGTATATCATCTCTTCCTTGCCCAAACCCCACGGGTTGAGGACCATCCCTAGTAACCCGTATATCAACATTGTGTGAAGGTATTCACCTCGAAAGAATCCTGGCCACACAACAGATACGGTAGTCGCGTTCTCCTTTCCAGGCTGCATCTGCACTCCAAGAGAAGCCACCTTGCAAGCGGCAAAGCAAGCATGAAGTGACCAAGCATGGCCAAGCGGGTGGTTGTCAAAATAGCCGTTGACAATCGTGGGATATCGTGGACACATCCTCATGACTGAGGCGCGGTTGTCTTTGTCTGCGCTTTCTTTCGCTGGCGGATGGCTCGAACTCCCGGGGCTTGCAAGGATGAGAGAGGCAACCTGTTTCACACAACGCCTTCAGGCAAGGCCCATCCTGCGCCCTAGATGCAGTTGAAGCAGCGCTTGAACAGAACTCAAATTGACGAAAAGACTGCCTTGCGCTAAACTCCTGAGGGGGGGTGACAACCCAAGGCTGTGTTGCTTCGCTCTCTATGACAAAACGCCATTGCGTGCAGCAGCGCTAGAAGCACACGTAGGCTAATGTAGCCCTAGGCCGATGCTGGCGGCATTCTGGGACTGGAGTCTGAAGGAAGGTAAGCTTAGCGCTTTGGAAGCCAACGTAAGCCTGCAAAGGCAATCTACGGGAACCCCCTCGTGTTGTGTATTGCCCTACAAACTACCAGTGCAGCCGGCGAAGCCGGTGTGAAGTTTCAAAAATATAAGAGCTATGCTTTGGAGCTCACTTCTTCTCCCTTTCTCTCTTTCTTTTTCTCTTTCGCTTTCTCCCTTGCTCTCTCTTTCTCTCTTTCTCTCTCTTTCTTGGTTGTCTTTCTCTTTGTCTATTTGGTGAGGCGTGACCATGATCACACTGGGTACTGCACTGCATACCCTCCTGCCAGGCTTGTGAAACAAACCACGCGGAAGATCGTGCAACTGCCGCGCCTCAGCGCTTGACTGCTTCGTCACAGCCATTTTGATGCCTTCGCCGCTCTCATCCACCGAATTGATCTCCTGACAAGCTAAGTGTGTTTCTTGGGGTACCCTTTTCACATGAGTGCAAAGGGGAAACAAGTGGAAACCACTCCTTTTAGAGCTACCGTTTCTTTTTGGCACATGAGCATTGGCCAGGCTGCTCGTGCGGTCCTGCACCTCACCAGCTTGCAAAAACTTCACGGCTGCTTGTCCCAGGTCGGAGACCAGCGAGGTGAGCTTCGAGCTCACCGACTTCACCTAACTCCACAGCGACCCACGCGGATGTTTTGGCTGGCGGACGTGGCGCCCGGAGTGGGCAGGGTTGGCAGAGAAGGCTGCCCCTCAACACCGAGCCTATGCAAGCAAGCGACTTCGGTGCTGTCCAGCTGTGAGGAGGATCCGCCGATGGACGCGATGCCTCCCAGCAGTGACGCCCCAGCAGCGGCCGACACGCCATCGCTGGCCAGTGCCAAACCTGAGCATTTTCCTCTTGAACGTCCACAGCACTGGGGAGAAGGCCTAAGGGCTTAGCAGGATTCGATCACGTCAGCAGCCTTCGTCAAGGAAGACTTGTCTGCAGCACTCCCAGCGATAACCTGGCTGAATCAGGAGATGGGTAAAAAAGCGGTAGCCGATGACAACTCTAGCAAATGCTTTGTCGAACAGCCTGGGTGACAGCCGTTCCCATTTGCTGCAAGGTCTCATCACTTCCATCTACCTCAGGTGCAAATTCGCTCGCTGCACCGCGCTGCTCACTCAGAATGCGCAAAGCTCATGGTCGAGGCACCATGGTCGTGACGCTGGCCAAGGCATCGAGTGCCATTGCCGTCACTGCTGAGGATTCCCCGTCCACGGAACCTGCATAGGGCATGGCACTCACCTCTCTCATGTGTATGGAAATCGCTCGCAGCTCATGCCACAA